GATGATGATGATGATGATGATGATGATGATGATGATGATGATGATGATGATCAAATGCAAGCAAATGTAGTTTTCATGAAATGATTCTAATTCAGTATAAATCTTGCCACCTCCCTGAAAATTTGATTAAACTGTATATTATATCTGAGCAAGAATCAAGCTATGCCTCAGTACGTAATAAAAGTAAAACCCAAACCTCTGGAGTATTCATTTGATATCTTTATAAAGCTAATCTTTCATATACTTTTTTTCTTGGCAATTTAGCTCAACCTTTGTTCTGTATTTAATTTGATCTTAGTTGGTTGTGTTGCAAGAAATCATGTTCTATTAGATAACCATAGGGATTAATTTAGTTCTGTGATGAAATATGGGGCCTGTGTTTAAAAAAAATTGAGTCAAGATATTCTATGTCAAATATTGCTACAGGCTCCAACATTATTTTTAAATTGCTAAGATGTCTTTCCTATTCCCATGCATAAATATTTGAAGATATTTATAAGCTTGGTCATAAAAACAAGCAACATTTTAAATCAAGAAATACTGAATCTTCTGTATCAATTCTAATAAATAATAAATATTACATTTTCTTTTGTTTTTTTAATTAATTCATTTTCACTTCTATTTTTTTCTGTCCCGTTATCTTCAAGGCATGGGTTGCAAACTATGAACGACCAAGGATGAATGCCAATTCGTTATTGGCCAGCCCCACAGGGTTGAGTCCCTATCTTCGATTTGGCTGCTTGTCTTGTCGCTTATTCTATTATCGACTTTGGGAACTTTACAAAAAGGTGAGGCAATGAGAATTGGGAAGAAGATTTTCAGACACATAGAAATGAAATGATTTGGAGAATATATTAATTCCCAACTTATTTTTACTGTAACAATGCACACTTTCCAGGTATTATCTTCCTTAGTCTTATTTCTTCTTTACTATAGTGTTGAACTATAGTACTGGGAGTATTCATATCTTTTAGGCGTATGCGTACAAATGATGAAATGAGAGCCAGTTTGATCTAGCAATAGCAATAGCAGTTAGACTTATATACTGCTTCATAGGACTTTCAGCTCTCTCTAAGCGGTTTACAGAGTCAGTATATTGCCCCCACAGTCTGGGTCCTCATTTCACCCACCTCGGAAGGATGGAAGGCTGAGTCAATCTTAAGCTGGTGAGATTTGAACCGCTGAACTGCAGATAACAGTGAGCTGAAGTGGCCAGCAGCACTGCACCCTAACCACTGCGCCACCTAGTGGTTAAGGCACCAGGCTAGAAAATGGGAGATGGTGAGTTCTAATTCCGCTGTGAATGAAAGCTGGCTGGGTGATCTTGGGCCAGTCACACTCTCTCATCCCAACTTACCTCAAAGGATTGTTGTCATAGGGAAAACAGGAGGAGGAAGGTGTGTTAGATATGTTTGAAGTTTAATTTTATTTATAGCCCGTCCAATCCCGGAGGACTCCGGGCGGCTTACAGAGAGGTGAAAGAAAGGAAAATAAAAGAAAATAAAAATAAAATAGACAAGTTAAAAAACAACACAGATACATTCATTTCAGTCGGGGCTGGACCTCAGCAATGAAGTCAACAGCCCCAGGCCTACCGGAATAGCCAGGTCTTGACAGCTTTTTTGAAGGCCATGAGAGTGGGTGAGGTCCGGAT